TTATTCGCGATGCCTGCTTACACCTGTTTCCCCATTGAGAAATACAGACGGTGGCAAATGGTTCTTACACAGCGAATTCTACGTGTCTTTTCTCTGTGACAAGTGGCAGATTAAATACGTCGAAGAAGTGTAGAAACTCATCAATTCCACAGCCGTCCCCCTACCGCATGGTATGTATGTCGTATCCACCGGAATTGATTGTGGCCATAGACGTATCAGTACCGGTCTAACCATCTGACCAAACGGTTTCGGTGGCTGTCAAGGCCCGCTCCTTAAGGCTCACCTTGGCCCCGAACATTTCCATACCTAAACAATAAAACGAGTACCTCTGAAGAGATACAGCCACTATGCGTGAAATCCAACAGACTGACGTGAAGAGTTGCCATTTGTAACTTTTCGACGAGTTCATTTCCACGCAAAAGGTCCACTCATGTGAATTTACCTGCGGCTGCTTCTTGGTGGTGACACTTAATTAAATATGACACCAGTGAGCGATGTCCCCTCCCCATTGCCCATGTTAGGGCGTGCCTGAGCCAGAGCGTGACCATCAACCAAAACCACTCTATTGCTGCGGGCGTGGCACAGGGGCCAGGCAGCATGGCATCCCACGTGCCCGACCGGCCGCCCCCGCGCTCAATAGGCTCACCTTTGACCCGGCGAGGTCAGCAGGGTCACGGTTCACGGTCAGCCACACGGCATGGCACCGCGACGAATTCTTGGAGGACGGCATCCGCCCGGGGTCTGCCAGAGGGCGCTCGCTCATGGACCGACCTGAATACTTCCGTTATCGGAGCTTTTTGTTTCATGGTGCCAGTGGGAGGGGAAGAGAGGTGAGAGAAGAGCGAGAGAGATAGAGGTTGGTGAGAATAAAAACGAAGTGACTGCTTCACGATATATTTTCGGCAATTTTTAATCATTAGATTCAAAAGTGACTCTAAAACTAAATTCGGATTTGTTTGGATGATGGATGGATGAGGATTTGTTTGGATGTTTTGATGATAATTTTTGTAAATATTTTATGGATGAGCATTGAACATGGTGAGCAGGAATGTTCACATCTCGGCACCACTTTGCACCATTATCTACTCAAGAAGGCGGAGGTGAACGACTGCCTCCTCCCTCTCCCTACCGCCTCTTAGATGAGACGGGGAGCAAGAGTGTTTTGTTCTCGGCACAAAAGTAAAATCTTTGACTTTTCATGTGTAAGTGTAAAGTGGTCTCGGGCTATATGACTCGGGACCTCAGGGCTCAGCTGTAGGTATCAGTAATTTGACCCTCCGTGGAACTAGCGGAGCACTCACGCTCGCCACGACACCTATAGCTGGTTCTCCGTAGCTACGAGTGCAGCTCTCCTCTGCTGGTGGCGCTACTGTCTAACTTTGACCGTCTCTGCAGGAGCATAGCCCTTCCTCAGAGCTCTGGCCCATCCTCAGAACGCTGAAATCATTCCCCTTCACACCTCAACCCCCTTGTTCCGGGCTGAAGGGCACCATCATTTTGACGTGAGCAGCTCCTCGGAAGCAGGCTCACGTGCGGTTGTGTCATGTGTGACCGTTTGCGAGGCTGAGTGACCTGTCCCTCGAGATGGGCTCAGCCTCGACGGCGCACCAATGACTCCTTCAGCCTTGGACTGACTCGACCATGGCGCAGAGCAACGCTCCCTCAAATTCTTATTTTTTTCGGCTCCGAAAAGCCCTTATTAGACCGAAAGTACGGGCCTATCCGGTATCAACGGGCACAACAAAAGCAAAAACTAGGCCCAATATAGCATGTATGTACCTATAGGTAATTGTGTCGCTCAAATGAATAGTGCTTTTAGCATTTCATTCCAGTATTTTCTCTTTTAGTTAGGTTCATATTGGTATGTACAAGACTTAGATGAGTTTAGTCAAATTGGGTTTACCCAAGCGCCGCAAAACGAGTGGGTATGAATAAAACTCTAAGCAGCAAACTAAGCATAAAGAAACCCATTTGGTCATACAGAACGGGCCATATTCTCATGAGCTGTGTGTTGTATGATGGATACTTCACATGCAAACAGCATTATTTTTTCCCGGATTTTGGTTCGTGGATTTTGACGAAATATTGCATTATGATAAAATAGGTGTTGCCTAACTGCAAGAAGAATCGCTCCATGTGGAATTGTAATGTGGATTCGCGTCTGATCGAAATCGTGACATGTACATTTTCACCCGACAAACGCCTGTCATGTCTGCTCCAGTTCCCGATTTATTAGACCTGAGAGGTAGACTGTACCGCAGACCCGGGCGTACTGCGGCACAGCCTACCAGTGTCCTGTGTGACTAACACCATTCGATGCAGTCTCCGCAGTCCGCCTGCTCGCTGTGTAATCTATATGGTTCGTTAGCAGGTCAGACGGTGGTTAGGGGTCGCCGATGCCGCATCTGAGCTGGTGTTACGCGTGTCCGTGCATTAGGATGTGAAGTATTGATCCGGTTTAATCAAGACGTTACGTAATGAGCCGCTCTTCACAGTGGCCGTGGTAGTACAACGCTCGGTTTTGATAAGCATTTTGATTCAACTTTTAGTCATGTAGCCAGCATTTTGCTCAAGAAAGGAACTATGCACACTTTTGCTTAAATTGACAGTGTCGAAGAACGCCTTCTTTTTGCGCAGTTACCACAAAAGATAAATTGAGATGCTCAAGTCGATAATGCGCTAAGTCAGTCAAGAAGCTCATTGGAACATCTTTTTTAAAGTTTAGATACTAAGGCATGCACCTTCGACCAGCATCGCTCAGGAAGGGACTATGACCCACACGACCCTACCTACCCCTGGCACTTTCCTTCAATACTCGATAGAAATAATTAACGGGTTTAAATTGTTCAAGATGTTCAAGAGCGAAGTGTCCCCAAGAGCCTCTGCGCACTGGCCATACACTTATGTAATCAATTTCACTACTAGCAAATCCTTCTGAGAGAAGTATTGCGTTTTCTCTATGTCAGGTTTTTATAATCGCATCTTACCGATGAGAAGGAAACCGCGTCACACATTTGCTTATGTAACACTAACATCGTCAGTCTTAAACACCGCCTCAGCCCGAGCAGATGATTCGAAAAAGCAAAATGTTATCAAATGGCTGTGTAATGGTTGCATTATAATCGGAGACGCCAAACAAGCGTTAGATGCCACATATTATATCGACTCTTGAAACAGTCCGAAGACAAAGAAAATGGCCCAGGGAATTCCGGGCAGGCCGCTTAGAAAGCGTCTTAGGTTAATGCTGCTTCTGCAGAAACCATCTCAGGGCTAGTCCTTTTCAAGGTCTTAGACACGCAATATTAATAGCGGAATCGGCCATTTTCTCCAAAGGTGGGTCTGTCCCGAGGTTCTTGTTTTTTAGTCTAACTTTTTCTGAATGTTTACAGCATAAGCATAGACAGAAGTGATTTTGTAAAAAAAAGACCATATCAATGGAGTGCATGTTCGAGTTTATCAAAATGGTATCACGCTGGATCGAAGAGCGTGGACATTTCAGGCATTTGCCCGCCGTGCCCGCCCCTTACCACAGCGTATGAAATGAACAATTTTTTGTCCTGACATGTTTAGCCCCCAGGGCTTCCTCTAAGATGCTAGGGGGGGGGGGCGTAGCCCCCGCAGTGATGCCGCTGGCCCCCCAGTGGAGCTGAAAAGAAAAATAGGTCCTCTCGGCATCACTTATCATTCTGCTAGGGACTTCAAGGTGGTGCGCCGCCCCGCATGAAAACTGCGCGGCTTGAATCAGGCATCAGTACACGTTCAGAAACTGATCCCACCTGTGCAGCCTGGTTGAGTGGCTCTAACCAATCGCTAGCCAGGATGTTGCGCCGGTAATATATACTTATCACTGTTAGCGGTTTTCTGTGGCGTCATGAACAGCTTGAATATTACTTAGCAGCTGAACATGCTTCAGGTCTGGATTTTGGCCGGATGTTTGACGCCGGCGACGCCGTCCGAGCTGCTGGCAGCCCACACATGGTCAATTTGACGGCTCAACGGATATCGCAGCTCGAACGGCTTCCCATCCGACCAGGCCATCTCATTCATCTCTTCCTTCGACCAGTGGACACGCCCTGGCCTGAGTCCAAAGGTGGTGGACTGGTTGTTTTCCCGTCAATTTCATTGTCTTTTTCAGTTTGAAGGGCAGCAAAACCAAGCTAAAGGGCGGGCATTGGTGAATCATGATGTGGGACCTCTTATTATCTGCCTTGGTAAGAATTCGAGTCTGTTTGCGTTTCCCTGTCGCTATCTTGACAACTCTTCTCACCACTTGGCAAAGGGCGCCTTTTGCGATCGAGGCCGGACTGAGTCTGCCACCAAGCCCCAGTCTGTTACGCCTCAGGCAGATGTGCTACTGGCTGCTGCTGATGTCCAGCTGCTGACAGACCAGCTCCTGGCTCATGCCACCATGCCACCAACACTTAGCCTTACTACGAAACGAGAGACTGTACTCCCTTCTCTCCACTTCCTTGAACGAAAACTATCAAATGAAACCGTTGGCGACTCGACTCTTACTCAGAGCAAGAGATCCCACTAAGAAGAAGAAAAAACTTAACGAATTGAAAGGTAAAAATTTCACTATGAATTGCTCAGCAGTGCTTGAGGAAGCGAAAGCGGATGATACGAGACACTTTTTAAAAAGTCTTTTTGGGGAGCACAGGCCCCTCGCACCAGTCAATACCATCTATCTGGATCCACCAACGAAATGGCAAGGGCAGCTTATGTCCATGCTCGTACTAAAGGAAATGTTTCTCATCCATCAAAGTTCAAAGTTCAAACCCATTCCCGGCCTGGAACTCTCACGCCAGGCAAGATTAGATCGAACAGCTCCATTATCTGCGGCCGTTAACGAGCACTAACGCCTGTAAGTACGTCTACACGAATGGCGGGGGTGTTAACGGATCATGACGCTGGCCATGATGAGGGACTGACCGCTCCGGACCGGCCCGGCCTCATACCGCCCAGACCAGTCGGTAGGGTGCGCCGGACGCGGCAGCAGCATGGCCGCGCTCCGCCGCCGCTCGGCGCCGCCGCCGCTGCTGAGACTGCTGCCCCTGCTGCTGCCCCTGCTGGTGACTGTGCTGGTCGTGGGTGCTGCTGTCGCCAGTGCTGCTGTCCCAGGGTCCATGCGGGTCCGCCCGGACCGCTATTGCCTGGCCTGTCTGTGCACGGCCACCTCCAACTGTTCGCCGTCCATCGGGTGTCACCGGCGCGGCGCTGACACCGTCTGCGGCCCTCTCCTCCTCTCTGCAGCCGTGTGGAGGCGCGCGCGGCTCACCGACTCCTCCTTCGCCGCCACATTCGCCTACCTGGGCTTCCGCGAGTGTGCCGCAGACGCCGAGTGTGCCGGCGCTGTGCTCGGCGCCTACCTGGAGGCAGAGGCGGCCGACTGTGACGGAGACGGAATGGTGGGGTGCACGGACTTTGGAGTGCTGACGGTGGCCGGGCCGGACGGGTGTCGACGCGGCGCGGCGGCCCTGAGTCGACCCCAGCAGGCCCAGATGGAGGCGCTCCATCGGTGTCAGAGAGAGGTGGCCTACATGCTCCGAGTGCCAAAAGCCAACTGTTGATGGGACAATCAGCTGCTGACAGCAGTCATCAGATGCCTATCAGACATTAGAAGACGACGGACTCGATGGCCGTGTTGTCATCGGCAAGTGATATTTTTATCAATTTGTGACGCACGAAGGTCAATGAAGTTTTATCACCTGTCTGCTATGTCTGCTAATTTACTGGATGAAATGGTGTTATCTTGTTCAATGTGGCTGCATATGCCGCTTGCTGGTCTATAAGCCCAATGACGGTGCGCTCCACATTTATCTTCAAGGAAGGTCTACGTTGAAATGCACATCGCCATTTTTATAAGGAAACTGAGCATATTGGGCATTATTGGCCCATTCAAATAAATACATTGACTATTATCCGGTGTTTTAGGGTATGAGATGCACGTCCCTTCTGCAGATAACTAGCACGTCCGACTGCTTTGCTCCCGCAGTACTGATCTTATCGCCTAAGAGCATTAAGAGAATTAGTTGAGGTGGTCGCGAAACATTTGCTATCTACAGAAAATCCTGCTCACGGAACTAAAATATCTGGGCCATTTCATGCAAGAATACATACAAGGTATTAACACATATCTTATAGGCACAGATAACAGATAACCGGTGTTAACAACATCGTAAGGAGTGGCATTGCAATGCACCTAATCATCTCATGGCGTTGGCCCGTAACGAGGGATGTCACTCCGAGCAGCTTCAGCTATGTACCGTAAAATGGGGTGTTAAGGGACAGTGGGGTGATAAGGGACAGTTGCGTGGGAAAAACTTTGAGTCATGTTAAGTTCCTAAGTTGAGAAGGTTAAATAAAAACTTGAGTGTGGTAGTTGACACTGTTTTGTTCTTGACTATAGGACAAAATGGCAATGTTTTTCATGCAAGTGATTTGGTTCAAAAATGGTTATGAAAATAATGCTACATTTTCAAAAATTGAGACATCTCCAAAACTCTGTGTGTACCACATAAACTAGTAGGTGTACAGGTAAAATGAATGCACAGGTGTATTGTCACATGTAATGCACATGTTTCCTGAAAAACTTATACAAATCCACCCATTCATTCATTATCCTCTTCCTCTTTTCCGGACACATGCATATTTTGAGGTGGATGTGGGGTGCTAAGGGACAGGGAAGAAAAAATAAAAAAATAATATCTAAATATAATTTCATAGTTTCTTTCAGTAGGCATGGAAAACACCAAATTCCGCATAAAATGCTGGCAAGTTCATGCTTTCATCTCTAACACATCTTAAGTTATATGTATAACAAAACACCTCAAATCTCCCTTAACACTCTTTTACAATGATGGGTCAATGAAGACTGATGTAGGTAAATGTGGTAGGTAAATGTGATCATAAAAATGCCCAAACAAAGAGGGCAACATAATGACAAGTGACTAGCTTCAAAATGGGTTTTTGTTGATGACAGAAGGGTACTTTTTGGTTTTGTTTACCTTATAATTAGCACATTTTCCAGAAGCGTAAACTGCATTACATGTAATTGGCTGAAAAGGCCATTAGTGGTGAATGAACCTGGCTTGTTTTGTGACAGAATATGCAAAACATTTCAATAAATAGATTGTGTGCCCATTTACACCCCAATTGTGGGCATTTGGTGACCATTTCTTGGAATAATATAGGTGTCCCTTAACACCCCACATTGGGGTGCTAAGGGACAGTAATGAAAAATAAGAAAAAATAATATGCATGTATATATTTTTAAAACTAGAATGTAGCAGGCATGTTAACACGCGCAGTGGAAGGGTTGCGAGTACTACGCCCAGTGGAAGGGGGGGGGGCGGATGTCGCCCCCCCCTAAGATCTCAGCTCCCACTGGAGCTAGAAAGACGAAATTTGGAGGGTAGGTGGAGGCCATGGGGAACTCTGTTGTGTGTGAATTTCATGACCCTAGGTCAATATCTTCAAGGTCAAATGAGGTCAAATGTGGTCAAATCTGCCATATTGGCGACTTTTTTGCGTTTACACGCCGATAACTCAAAAAGTTACCGGCCGATTTTTTTAAAACTTTCACTATACGAAAGAGCAAACATTTGTGAGTATGTATGGTGAATTTCTAGATAATCCAACAATAAATATGGAAGTTAGAAGCCTGCTAAGGGTAAGATGTCGCCGGCTGAAGCGGCATCGGCCGACGCGGGAAACGCGGCAATCACAATTTTGTGTTTACACACTCATAACTCAAGTTGTTACCGGCCGATTTTCAAAATTCTTTAACCATATGATTGCCTGTACATTTCTCAGTCTTCTCACCGAATTTGACGCGAATCTAATATAATCAGCGGTAAGGAGCGCGATGTAAAGACGGAACCGTCCCGCCCCGGCACAGTCTACAATTCAGGCGGCGCGTAACGGCTAGCGCCGGCCGCCGCGCCGCCGCGCCGCCGCGGCGGCATGATGTTTGACTTTACACCGCTATTACTAGAAAAGTTGTGAACCGATTTTCTTACTTCTTGCGCGAGAAGATCCGCAATTCAATTCTGGACAGGTAGCCGAAATTTCACATTGATATTGTACTTGCGGCGCGAGGTTATTGGCGAAAAACAGGAGGGGTGGGCGAAATCCGCCCCCCCCCCCTTCCACTGCGCGTGTTAAGCACCAAATTCCACATAAAATGCTGACAAGTTGATGCTTCTATCCCCAACCCTTCTGGAGTTATATAACAAAACACCTCAAAACTGTCCCTTAACACCCCATTTTACGGTACTGCACTTTCGATTCTGACTGACATTTACGGCTTCTCCGTCCAGACAACCTGACAGTCACAGCTAGGATTACGGCCGAGCTCTATGACCTCGGGTCAGTGACCTCTCCCACTGTCAGTGACCTGTCACGGCTCGCGTGGGGAGCGCGTCACACCACTGTCACAGGACGTCGTCCATGTCACACGGAGCTGTCTCAGGGAGACACGGCACCAGTGTTCGCCATGGGCCGGGCCAGCCCAATGGGCCGTGGGCTGGGCTGGGCTACGGGCTGGGCTGGGCTACGGGCTGGGCTGGGCCCTCAAATATGAAGGATCGATGGGCTGTGGATGGGCTGGGCCAGGAACTGTTAAGTGGAGTCAGGGGTTCGCAACTGAGACAAAAACTATAAATACATAGCTTATTACTGTGCAAGACTCACAAACGAGTCAATAAAGCACGCATGGAATGTGCATTGTGCATGCGGCTCGCAAAATATTGTTTCTTTGCTACCTTTGGGTACCTGTGTGGTGTCAATAATTTTTAACCCATTCATTTTTGACGGGCTGGGCCGGGCTGGGCTTTTACGCTTTTACTATGAATGGGCTCGGGCTGGGCCGGGCTGTGAACCCATGGGCCTGGGCTGGGCTGGACTAGGATTTTGTGGCCCGTGGTGAACACTGCACGGCACTAACTGCGGAGACTGGGCCGGGTCGGTGCGCCCTGGAACTGGTCTGTCTGGTGCCCGGACCGCAGCGGTAAGCCGCTGCGGACGACCGTGATCTTGACTTAGCCAGCTGTGCTAACTACTAAGCCGCTCCAGAGCGCAGGGAACTTAGTATGACCGCAAGTTATGTGAATACCTGTGTCAGTCCTCTCAGGGCGGCTTTGTGTGCATGATCTATGGAGAAATGCCCTGATATATGGAGCATTTTTATCTGCTAGGATGAGACGGATGGCGGTATGTGCATCGCTTTTATGAAGAGATGACTCAGGACGGGGCATAATCATTAATCAGGGAAGTTTAGCAGAACTGAGAAGCAGCACAGCACCCATTGTCCCTCCCCTTTGGCTCTATCGTGGAGTGCTAAGTCGCTCATCACGACAATGTGTGGTTTGCATTATTGAACCTACAGTGCAGACCCACGCGATGGGATATGATATCATCCGAAATGACTCCCACGCCTTACGAAAACACTTTTTGAATTCAGGATAGGTCTCTTTTAGGCCTTGAAACCGCTGAACATTTCGGCGGCACGTGTATTTTTGTTTGAATGCTGCTTTTCATCGGGGCTGTAATGAAGGAAGTCATTTTCACAAGAGAAGAAAACGCATCTCACTGCTCCTCATAGCCAAGCATTAGTTTGGACACTTAAGCATGACACCCAAAAGACAAAGAATGACTGATAGAACCTGTCCCCGGCGCATTCAACACGCATACCGCGACTCATGAGCACCTAATTCCCTGGCGACAGGCTAGACAGACGGGAAATAGCCTCCCTGCTGCGTGGGTGTAGTTCATGGCCAGGGTCAACACTGGACTGCCCCGCGCCGCGCCTCGGATCGTCTCCTCGCTGACACGGCCCGCCCAGTCATCCCCATAAGCGGCGGAGTCCGACTGGGGACACGACTCTATTCTGAGCACGGTGGTAGTCATCATTCAGCCGTGCACGCGTCTCCATGGTGTGGCGATGACTCGCGAAGGTCACTTCGTATGGGATGATTATGTCAGCATACACGACCTCGGAGACAGGGAAGAGCGTCGGAAGTTTTCGAGATGCGAGGTAGTTGGCATGAATGGGTCATCAATTCCTGCAGCTACCGAGGCTGTTCGATCCTTACAGCTGTTAGGCTTCTGGAGATGGGCTTGGTCGCCTATTGTGCATGGTTCAACGGTTGCGTTACTGAATCTATATTTCAGGTAGGAAAGACGACTTAAACTAGTCATGGAAGGCGACACCAGCACGAGGCAAGCTGACAAATAAACCAATCCACCTTATGTATTAAGCAGTAACGATGAATAATTGTGGACGTTTCTATGCTGCAATATACGATCCTTTATAATTTGCCTCGCCAATTTATCTGCATTATTCAGCGATAGTGTCAGCGGTCAGCATTGCAATTTGCACCCATGAACACCGATGCCCGACGGTCAGTCTCAGGCCCTTTACAGTTTACGGCGGCATTTATAAAGGTGGCCATGAACAGCGACTTGGCCGGTGACTTACGGTGTCCGTTATTTATGCTCCAGTCATCCGTGCCTGGTATGTACTAATGCTCTTCTACAGACAATAACGGCCAATAACGGAGCTGAGGGG